TTTTTTTTTTTTTTTTTTTTTTTTTTCTGATGGGTTCTTAACTTGTGTGCTTCTGTGATGTATTAAGGTTGTCCATAGACCCAGTGAAACCAATGGTGTGAATTCCCATTCAAGTCCAAAGGCCTGAAAACCGTAAGAGCCAGTGTTGTAAGTCCCTGTCCAAGGGCAGAAGGCCGACGTTTTAGTTCAGCAGTCAGCCAGAGGAGGATTCAGTCTTCCTCCGACCTCGGTCCCGTTCATGCCCTTAATGTGTTGGATGATGTGCGCCCACTTTGGAGAGGCCAGTCTGTTTTACTCAGCTGAAAATTAAAATGCAGAGACACCCACACAGATACACCCAGAAATAAGTTTAACCGGATATCTGAGCATCCTGTGGCTCAGTTAAGTTGACACGTAAAATTAATCATCACGTGTGTCTTACTGGGCAGCCTGATAGAGCTTTATATCTTCATTAAGTCTGATTCCTTGATTAGAGGGGTTGGTGTAGCACAGCATTTTAGAGCCAGGGATTGTAACCAGCAGACAAGGATGTGTCCTTGAGCGGTAACAACAGAGACGTGAGGATCTGTGAAATGGAGGTGATATTGGCGCTTATCCCGTAGTTGGTTTTGAGGATTTGGTGAGGTGATATGTGTAGAGCACTTACTGTATATTGGTCAGTGTGTGTTACCTGTTGCTTGATGAGAAAACAGGTTGGAGAAGAAAAGTAATTTGTCTGAAGTTTAATATTCTGTTAATTATAGCCTTGGATTTGGAAACCAGATCTTCTGATTCTCATTACTGTATCCGCTCAATTCTTTGGGCTATACTTGTTGAAATGCCCCCCTTTGAACTTAAACAACTTTTTGAGCAAATTCTTTAAAATTGTATTTGATCAAAATAGCTCCCCCCGGCCATAGTGCTTTATGTGTCTGTTTTTCGTTAGAATGATTTACGATGATCCGAACAGAGTTTTTGCCTTTACAGTTGATTGTATTCTGTATACTGGGAATCATTTTTTGAGTTTTTTTTAACATTTGCTTTTCTAAAGAGAAATAATGTGTGTGTGTGTGTGTGTGTGTGTGTGTGTGTGTGTGTGTGTAAATTGAGTATGTATCAACTATTCTCTCTTTTCTTTACCGTTTTGAATTCTGATATGAATTGGCTACTTTGTTCTATTGTTTCCATCATTTTCAGTTTGCAAATCATTTTTTTTTAAATTTTCTAAAATGTTTTTTATCTGTGTTTGAGACAGAGAGAGCGAGCGCGCAAGCACGTGGGGGAGAAGGGGGAGGGACAGAGGATCCAAAGCAGGCTCTGCGCCGACAGCAGAGAGCCCAATGCAGGGCTCGAACTCACGGACCGAGAGTTCATGACCTGAACCTAAGTCAGACGCTTAACTGACTGAGCCACCCAGACGCCCCTTGCAAATCACTTTTTGTTCAAAATTAAGACCAGCAATTTCTCTCATTGTTTATTTTCCTAATTAGATGTGAAGTTGGTCATAAGGTTTGTCTGTGAGCAACTTCAGCTTGACAGCTTGGTTTTATAAGTGTTTTAATATGTTCACTTTGATTTCAGTTTTTAATTTTAACTTTTTAAAACCTTATCTTCTCTTGCAGTTGTAAACAATCCTCGAACAGGAAACCTTGGTGCGCTAATTAAGGTCTTCCTTTCTAGAACCAAAGAACTGAAACTTTCGGCAGAATGTCAGAAGTAAGCTGGCTGATTAAATCATGTTCTCTTTATATTTAGCAATATGAGTATTTTTCATTTTTTGGTGGAAATGGATTATGGTCTTTTTGAAAGCTATAAAGGAATTCTCATTATTAAAAAGTAAAAGAGAGGTTATAATTTACTGTCCAAGTCATTGTGGTGAGGTTATGAATTCTGGAATCTGTTTGATTTCAGCATTTCAGACAATCTTCAGAAATATATTCCTTAAGAAGGTTAATAGCAATGTAATTATTATTAAAAAAGATAGTTTCCCCGCCCCCATTATTATTGCTGTTCATACCTAGTTTAAATTATGACTAAGTTTGAGTATTTCATTCCACATCTGTTTCCTTTCTTCCTTTCCTAGTAGATGAAAGAAAGTTCTGATTAGATATTATAATTTTATTTTTATTTGAATTCCAGTATAGCTAATGTAGATATTAAAATTTTATATTTGATGCCTTGGAAGGTTAATCTTTGATGCCCTCAAGCATTTTTTAAAACCAGTTTTGCTTCCAAACAAATTATATTGAATCTAATTTAAATTTTTCTTGTTGAGTTCCTGCTTACTAATACAAATAGTGACTATTGTCCTGGGCTGCTGGCAGTGCCCCATTTAAAATTTTGGTCGTGTGTTTGCATATAATCTCTTTATGTTACTATATTTAAAAAAAATTTTTTTTTTCGCTTTTCTTTGCCCTGCCCACGTGTGGGACAGGTACGAAGTTAAGAACAAAGAGCGGCCATACCTAACGAAAATATTTTTGTTAGGTTGACTCACTAAGTAAAATGTATAGCATGAAACATGAAGTGGATTGGCACAGAGTAATATATCACTAGCCATGAAAAGATAGGGACGCTGTGTTTATATTACAAACGGAATGGGCAAAACGACTGAGAAATCATGAACTGCATGGTGCCCGTGCTCCTGATGAAGTGCTGATTCCCGTGTGGTTTGGTCTTTCCTTTCTAGCCACATCTTCATTTGGCAGACACACAACGCTTTGTTTATTATTTGCTGTCTGCTGAAAGTGTTCATCTGTGAGATGTCAGAGGAGGAATTGCAACTTCATTTCACGTATGAAGAAAAATCACCTGGCAGTTACAGTAAGTATGGCCTTTGAAGATGTTCCAGGGAGAGCACGTGTAACACGGAAGGATGAAACCTGAGGAATCAAAGCATAGTGTTGAAAATTCTCTCTGTCTTCCCTTGTCATTTTTAAACGACCTGGCACGCTGTCACTCCCTTTTCTCCTATATTTAAATGAGCCAGAGCTCTCAACGTTCTTTTTTTTTTTCCTTTTTCTTTTGAAATAAGGAAGCCAGTAGCAGTGAAGCTTTTACTTACTTTGACTCTGACGCATATGGAAAATAAAATTAAAAACCACAGATATACCTTTCAGAAAACAGGGTTGTCAACTTAAGTATCATTACTAGGGGAATACATTATTAAAGGAGACAACCAATCAGAAGTACGGATTTTAGACATATTGAAGGTTACTTTCATAGGACGCAGCAGTCTCTGGCTCTTTGGGTCTACTTGATCAGAAATAACATTTAAGGGCAGTTTTACGATGCCGAAATGTGTGGTCTTTGTCCGAAGACACAGGGAAATGTTGCTGTTTTCTCCTGATATTGCTGGGTTTTTTGTGTTACTTTTTTTTTTTTTTTTTGGCAGTAGTTAGGAGGGCCTGTAGTTTTCAAGATGGTGTTTTATGTCTTAGCATGAAAACTTACAGCCTGGAAAGTAGAAGGGCGGAAAGGGACTGTTATGTGAAATACAGGGAGTATAGGATTTTGTATCTACCCTTCCCGCTGACTTCTCTCTGAGGTTTGCAAAGGCAGTGTTGCTCCTGGTTCTGGGTTCATTTTTCTTTCTTTAAGAGAGAGAGAGAGAGGTGCAAGTGAGTGAGGGGCAGAGAGAGAGAGAGAAGTGGGGCTCACCCAAAGTGGGGCTTATGTTTACCTGAAGCGCGGCTCGAGCTCACCTGATATGGGGCTCGAACTCATGAACTGTGAGATCATGACCTGAGCCAAAGTCAGATGCTTATCCTGGACTCATTTTTCAAAATATGTCTCTAGGGGTGCCTGGGTGGCTTATTTGGTTAAGCGTCCAACTCTTGATTTCAGCTCAGGTCATGAGCTCACGGGTTTGTGCATTTGAGCCCTCCATGCAGCTCTGCGCTGACAGCCCGGAGGGAGCCGGCTTGGGATTCTCTCTCCCTCTCTCTCTCTGGACTGCCTCTCTCCCCCACCCCTGTGCGTGTGTGTGCGTGTGTGTGTGCGTGTGTGTGCGCTCTCTCAAAATAATTAAACAAACTTAAAAAACCATGTCTCTGTTCTCATTAGACTTATTGTCTACCTAGGGGTTTTTTTTTTTTTTTTTTAATGTTTATTTATTTATTTATTTTGAGAGAGACAGAGACAGCACAAGTTGGGGAGGGGCAGAAATGGAGAGAGAGAATCCCAGGCAGGCTCTCTGCTGAGAGCGTGGGGCTCGTACTCATCAACTAGGAGATCATGACCTGAGTTGAAATCAGGAGTCAGACACTCAACTGACTGAACCACCCAGGCGCCCCCTACCTAGAGCTTTATATGTTGATTCTGAGTTTTAAGAGAGAAATATGTTCAGTTTACTACTGTGATAATCTGTATTTGTTAAACATACATGGATGTTTAAACAGAGCTTTTAATCAGAATTCTGTCTGGCGTGTGTTAATTTTGTTAATGCTAGGCTTCGTTTTTGTGGTACCGAAAGTGCCAAAGCAGCCCTAGTCGGGGAGGTGCAAACCTTTCCACCAAAGGGGTAGCAGCAGGAATGGAGTGCATGTTTGCTTCATGGGGCCTGAGAGCTAAGCCAGCCAAGAACCTACAAACCCAACACTTTGTTTTGCTTTATGTCAAAACAATTATGCATATATTGTACTTTATTTACTTAAAAAATTAAAAAAAAATTTTAATGTTTTATTTTTGAGAGAGAGAGAGAGAGAGCGAGAGAGAGATAGAGTGCAAGCAGGGAAAGGGCAGAGAGAGAGGGAGACCCAGAATCCGAAGCAGGCTCCAGACTCTGAGCTGTCATTACAGAGCCCGATGCGGGGCTCAAACTCATGAACCACAAGATCATAACCTGAGCCGAAGTCAGACACTTAACCAACTGAGCCACTCAGGCACCCCTTGACATTTCTACTTATCAGTGGTCTAAGTCCTTTTTACATTTTCTATCAATGTCTTTTTACAGTTTATAAAAGTAATAAAATTAAATGATTGCATACATACTGTTAAATGGTAAAAAAAAAAAAAAAAAAAAGACATCATTATGAGGTACCTAAAAACATCCATTTATCAGCTTGTACGTGCATATCCGCATTAGGTATGCCGAAGGCTGCAGGTGTAGATAGTATGCAGTTTGGTTGTTTGAAGGTTGAATTGACGGAAGTACAGGACCATCTACAAACAATTGAGCGCAGTCAGCTGTGGGATTTTAGGATGGTCGGGTTACCACACCCTACAGGATTTTTGTTCCAATTCCTTGTCAAACTGCTTGCGGCGAGATGGATGTTGCTGGCATGTTCAGGGAAGCCTTCTTTCTGAGGCTAATGTGACTGTCAGTAAGCTCCCAGTTTGTAACAGAAATTTGTGAGGATGTCCTCGGTGAACATTTCCCCACGGGCTGTGGATGATGTGGTAATAGATTGTTTGCTGCAGAGAATTTGTATCCTCTTGTATCTATAACTCTTGGTGCTCTTCCCTGCCTTTGAGAATAGTCAGAGGGGACAAAGCTAGCCCTAGGGGAAACCAGGAAGCCCGACAAAACGGTTTCTGTTTCCCCTTTGCCTTCTGTGTGAGTTCTGTTCCTCCTAGTGTCCTGCGGTTCCCGGTATCATCTTCCATTACCTCCGATATTTAATTTACATTTTGCATCTCCTAAATCCGATATTTGAAGTCCTGAGGGGTTTACATGTATAGTTTGTTTTTGCAAACACTTTGTTTCCTTATGTATTTGAGGATGTTGGTTGTGAGCTTTTGCTGGTTGGATCTCCATCTGAGGCCCCAAATCAGGGAGGGATTTGCATTTGCTGCTGGAGGGATCTAGGGCTGTATCACCCGAGGCCATTAAGCCTCCTCCAGAGGTTCTGGGCCTAATGTGACTTCTCAGGTTCAGCTTCCCAGTGGCAACCCGGTGTCGCGGCCTTGTACCATCGTTCATCGTCAGGGTCACCCTACCGTTAGAGTTTGTTTACTGCCCAGTGTTTTACTCTGGATTCAAGCCAGTTTGTTCGCCTGTGGTTGTGCTTTTTGGTTATGATGCAAGGGTCCTTAGAGATTTCCTTTACTTTCTGGAAGCCCATCAATGCACTAAAAAGAGTTATTTTAGCCAAGAACTACTTGTTTTGTATAGGAGGCCTCTTTGGAGTAACTACTCCACTAATATTGCCCCCAGTGGAAGGCAATTATAGTTTATTTACAAACATTTTTACATTTTTTTTAAATGGGGGACGAAGTGGGGTGCCTGGGTGGCTCAGTCAGTTAAATGTCGGACTTTGGCTCAAGTCATGATCTCACAGTCCATGAGTTCGAGTCCCGCGTCAGACTCTGCACTGACAGCTCAGAGCCTGGAGCCTGTTTCGAATTCTATGTCTTCCTCTCTCTCTGCCCCTCTCCCACTCATGCTCTGTCTCTTTCTCTCTCTCTCTCTCTCTCTCAAAAACAAATAAACATTAAAAAAATTAAAAAAAAAATAAATGAGGGAAGAAGCTTTGAAGATTGAGAGACTGAAGACAGAAGAAAAAAAAAAAGAGGGGGAACGAGCTGAAACGAAAGCCCAGGGAAGTGGGGGACGCTAGGATCAAGAGCACAGAGCGGGGTGCTTTGAAGGAGCATACCATGTGTGCCTGTGAGCAGGTGGTGGTGTGGGTGGGCGTTGAGGGGATGAGGACATGGGTCATGTGCCAAGAGCTGGGGACAGCAGAATGTGGAGCGTGGTGGTCAGTTATGGCTGTGCAGAGAGTAGGTAGAAAAGACGCTGGAGGTTGTCGGGTCCATGCAAAGGCTCACTTAAACACGTTTCCTTGGCATAAACTAGTTCAATATAAATTTATTCTAAAAAATCATACTGCCCTCAAGCATAGTGGATTGAAACTACATGTTTATCTTTGCGTTCTTCTGAAGCCCCAATAAAACATCAGTAAAAGCACTGTTAGAAAGTCATGATTTTCTTATTAAAGAAGAGGCAGGGGGAACACAGTGTTAACGTTTCGCAAGTTGGAAAGTGGAGTAATGGTGAACTCAACTGATCGGTTAAAGCCGAAGAAGGCTACATGCCTTCAGGGTTGGAGAACTCCAGGAAACAGCCAGTTCTTGCCATAGAACCCTGGAAAGGCTGAGGAATTGGAACTGTCTCCGAAGGCAGACACCCAGGAGGAGTGATGGAAAGAAAGAGTGGGTCGCCCAGCTCCTCTCCCCAGCTCTGCGCAGTCAGGAGACCACCCAAGACCACCCCCCTCCTTTGGGCCACCTGGGGAGCTCAGTCGGTTAAGTGTCCAGCTCTTAGTTCAGGTCTTGATCTCAGGGTCATAATAAGTTCAAGCCTCGCATTGGCCTCTATGCTGGGCAGGAAGCCTATTTAAAAAGAAAAAACCCACTAGAATCTCTTCTCCAAGAGGCTGAACCAAGATACGGGGGCTCCCTGGCCCAGTGGAGGGGTGGTCTACTGAGAACAGGGCTAAGAGCAAATGCTACAAATGGAGAAGTGAGGCATCTTGACTTGGCTTCCAGGAATGTGGGCACTGGGGTTGTACCCACTATCTCGAAGGTTGATGCATACTCTTCTGGAGAAAATGAACCCAAAACAGGGAAAAGATGTGGAGATGCTGTTGTTTGGGTGTCCCTCAATGGAACAGCTCTGGAACCTCCCCCTGGAGGCAGGCTGCGCCTGTGCACGCAGAAGTTCCATGAACATTGGCTTCCTTCTGGCGAGCAAATGGGGAACCAAGGGTCCTGAGCAGTTGAAAAAAACTTCCAACTTGTGAGAGACCAAAGCAAGGAAAAGACAATCAAGGATAGAATATTTGTGGAAATTAAAAAAATAATCCATAATCATACCTCTC